GGTCCCATGCAGGTGGAAAGTCTTGGTGGAAAGAGATATGCATATGTTGTTGTGGATGATTTTTCCAGATTCACCTGGATAAACTTCATTAGGGAAAAGTCTGATGTATTTGATGTATTTAAGGAATTGTGCAAAAGAATACAAAGAGAAAAAGAAGGATGCATTGTCAGAATCAGAAGTGATCATGGTAAGGAATTTGAAAATAGTAAGTTTGATGAGTTCTGTTCCTCAGAAGGAATCAATCATGAGTTCTCTTCACCTATAACTCCTCAACAAAATGGAGTTGTGGAAAGGAAAAACAGGACTATACAGGAATCTGCCAGAGCAATGATACATGCCAAGAAGCTTCCTATTCATTTTTGGGCTGAAGCTATGAATACAGCCTGTTATGTCCACAACAGGGTCACCTTGAGAAAGGGAACATCATCCATCCTTTATGAACTATGGAAAGGAAGAAAGCCTACAGTGAAGTACTTCCATGTCTTTGGGAGCAAATGCTATATTCTAACAAATCGTGAACAAGGGAGAAAGATGGACCCTAAAAGTGATGAAGGTATATTCCTAGTATACTCTACCAACAGCAGAGCATATAGGGTGTTCAATTCCAGGACCAAAGTTATGATGGAGTCTATAAATGTCATAGTTGATGATCACCATGAGGAAACAAATGTCCCATATGATGTTGAGACATTCTTTGAGACTTCAACACAAGTGACTAAAAAGGATGATGTACCTAATCCTACTCCATCAGAGTCTGAATCAAAGGAAACTAACAAAGATCCTTCCATCAGAATTCAGAAAGATCATCCTAAGGAACTCATCATAGGAGATCCTAACAGTGGAGTCACTACAAGATCTAGAGAAATCATCACAAACTCTTGTTTTGTGTCTAAGATTGAACCAAAAGATGTTAAAGAGGCTCTGACTGATGAATACTGGATTGGATCAATGCAAGATGAATTGTACCAGTTCAAGCAACATGAAGTATGGGAGTTAGTTCCTAGACCAGAAGAAACAAACATCATTGGCACAAAGTGGATCTACAAGAACAAGTCAGATGCTGAAGGATTTGTCACCAGGAATAAGGCAAGGCTTGTTGCTCAAGGATACACTCAAGTTGAAGGGGTTGATTTTGATGAGACTTTTGCTCCTGTAGCCAGACTGGAATCAATCAGACTTCTCTTGGGAGTTGCTTGTCTCCTTAAGTTCAAGCTGTTTCAGATGGATGTGAAGAGTGCCTTCCTAAATGGGTACTTAAATGAGGAAGTGTATGTGGAACAGCCTAAAGGATTTGTGGATCCAAATTGTCCTGATCATGTCTACAAATTGAGGAAAACATTATATGGTATGAAAGGTTGCCAAAGTTCCTCACTGATAAAGGATACAGGAAATGAGGTTTGGATAAAACTCTTTTTGTCAAGAATGAAGGAGGAAAGATAATGGTAGCTCAAATTTATGTTGATGACATAGTGTTTGGAGGAATGTCAGATAAAATGGTTAAACATTTTGCTAACCAGATGCAAGCTGAATTTGAAATGAGCCTCATGGGAGAATTGACCTACTTTCTTGGACTACAAGTCACACAGATGGAAGACTCAATTTTTCTGTCTCAAAGCAAGTATGCAAAGAATATTGTCAAGAAGTCTGGGATGGAGAATGTCAGTCATAAAAGGACTCCTGCACCTACTCATTTAAAGTTATCCAAATACACAAGTGGGGCAAATGTGGATCAAAGCTTGTACAGAAGCATGATAGGAAGTCTGCTATACTTAACAGCCAGCAGACCTGACATTGCTTTTGCAGTTGGAGTATGTGCAAGATACTAGGCTGAACCCAAAGTAAGTCACATCAACCAGGTGAAAAGAATTCTGAAGTATGTGAGTGGAACTTACAATTATGGCATGTTGTACTCTCATGGATGTGAACCAATTCTGTCTGGTTATTGTGATGCTGATTGGGCTGGTAGTGCTGATGATAGAAAGAGCACCTCTGAAGGATGCTTCTTTTTGGGAAATAATCTTGTTTCTTGGTTCAGCAAGAAACAAAACTGTGTGTCTCTATCTACTGTTGAATCTGAATACATAGCAGCTGGTAGCAGCTGTTCTCAAATGATCTGGATGAAACAGATGCTGACTGAGTATAATGTCACACAAGATGTCATGACATTGTACTGTGACAATTTGAGTACTATTAACATATCCAAGAATCCTATACAGCACAGCAGGACTAAGCATATTGACATTAGACATCACTTCATCAGAGATCTTGTGGAGGAGAAGGTGATTAAGCTGGAACATGTTACCAATGAACTACAACTGGCTGATATTTTTACCAAGGCACTTGATGCTAGTCAGTTTGAGAATTTAAGGGGAAAGCTGGGTATTTGCCAATATGAAGAGATGTAGCAATTAATTTTGCTTAATACAAGGTTTGAAAGAAATATTTTAATCAAGTTTTCCAACTGCTATGAGATTCTTGTCAAAGAATTTATAGTAAATTTGTCTGGTGGATGTGTTGATGGAAAGTCAGCTGATTTTAAGAGTGTTTATGTGAGAGGAAGGAAGGTAAATTTCTCTCCTACTGTGATAAACAAATACCTAGGGAGGCCTGATGATGCTCAGCCTGAGCTTGAAGTTACTGACAACCAGGTTTATCAAACCATCATTGCCAAGCAATTCTATCTTGAAGAGCTGATTGCTAGTCTGGAACAGGAGGAGAATGAAGAACAAATGCTGAGACATCAAATGTTAAGGCAAGAACAACATGATGGTTCTGCAAGAAGCTCACCAGAAGATGCTGCTGAAAATAGTGCTTCCTCAGGGGATGACAGTACCTGAAGGTCTGTGTTTTCTGAGTTGTAAAGATTGTTGCTGGAACCTGCTGCTGCTATTTGATACCTTCTCTCTGTTTATGTGTTTTTTGGATTTCCTTTTTATGACTGTATAACTTGAAGTACTAGATCCTTTGGCCTCTTTATGGCTAAAAAGGGGGAGAAGTAATTGTGGTAATTTTGGTAGAATTAGATTTTGGGAGTTAGATTAGCTGTTATTAAAAATTCTGCTGCATGTTGCTTCTGCTTTCTAATCTCTGATTGTTTAGGGGTTTTAGCAAAATTTTTGCCAAAGGGGGAGTTTGTAAGTGTTTGCTTGTTGGCATTATTTTTTGGTAAAACCAGATTTGCGAATGTCATGACTGATGTCATAACATTCTGGGATAAAGACAAATTCTGCAGAAGGAATGTTCTACAGGAACAACTCAGTATGAGTGAATATCATGATGATTAAGCTATGATCATATGTAATGAATTCTACCAAAATCAGTGAGCAGGATACATGATGTCATAACCAATGTCATAACCCATGTTAAGACATCTTGTACTGATCAAGTTGTTGTGCAGATTTATTATTCCTGAGAATTTTCAGGAATCTGGTGTGCTACTCTGAGTTGAAGTATATTGACTAGATCAGATGCTCATGTGGATATTAGGTTAACCTTGCTTAACCCTAATCTGTTATGATGAAAGCCCAAGACCAAGTCTTTAGGTTAACTTTGGTTAACCTTAGCTATTTTTATGGAAGCCAAAAAATGAAGAACAAACTGCATATATATTTCTCACGAATTCTAATGGTGGACATCCTTTTGCGCAGAAGATCAATAAGGCATTTTGTAGTTGTGATAGTTTTAGTATTTAATGTGAGTCAAGCAATTATCACTTGATAAGTGACTTGGAGTAGGATTTGGTTGTAAGGATTGTTTATCACTCAAAGCTTTGAAGCACGAGTGTTGTGTCTCTTGATTAAAGCTTTGAAGCAAAATTAAGCGTGTGTATTGAAGAATGTATTCATAATTTTATTAATCAGTAGATTAGTATCACTACTGTGATTGAGGGGGAGTGAGTAGGAACTCAAGTTTAAGTAAGACTTAGATTGAAGTTGCATTGGGTAGGTCTTAAGTGAAGGAGATAAACTGGTTGGTTTATTCTTAAATTAATACCTCTTATAGTGAATTTCCTCCCTGGCTTGGTAGCCCCCAGATGTAGGTGTTGTTATACAAGTGCATTCTCTCAAAGAAGTAACAATTCACAATATCATTTTAACAATTAGGAATCAAACATATCTCATCAAATTTAACTAACAAATGATTGATTCTTACTCAAAATTAAATCCAAGTGACATGTAAACTCGACCAGTTAGAGGTCCAAACATGCAAAAAAGATTGACTCAAGAAGGTGCTTAAAAATCATCAGACAAAAACCCTAATAAAAAATTATTTAATATAACGCACCTTCACATATTATTTTCAAATAAAAATAAAAATTAAATGGAAAAAATAAATAAAAATCATGCAAAAATTCTCAAGACGTCAAAGAGTCAGAAACATATTTTTGTGGATTTTTATTGTTAAGAAAACATAAAAAAATCCAATCAAAATCGGAAAGAAACAAGTGTTGCAATTAACAAGTCAGGGGTAGAAAAGAGAATTCGCTTAGCCCAACACACTATAATCCAAAACCAATTCCAGCTTCTTTATTTTTGTTTTGTTAGAAATTAATTAAAAAAATAACAAAATAAAATAAGAAGACTTAATGCTCGAACCAGTCATGCCACACCATGTCATTTAATTTGAACAAACAAGAGGGCGCCTGAGGAAAGCCCTAGCCACCATCCCTTCCGGCCAACTTCCACCATGGATGGTGGCGTCTGTGACCAGCTTGACCAAAAGGACAAGGAAAAGTCCGTTCCCACTCGATTTTTGGCACTGAAGCCATAACCGACCTCTATTTTCATTGAAACTAAATCTAACATCATGAAATTTGATCATCACCAAAGTCTTATTAAAATGCAAAATCACGCATATGCTCCTAGCTACACATGGATTAAAGCCAAAATCATCGCCTATGTGAATATGACTTCAGATGTAATTCAACTACATGATTCTAGCATGGATTAAAGGCCTAAAATGAAGCTGAGGAGAGGATAAAAATGGTGCAAGAAAGTTACCAAACGGAGACGATGTCCATTGCGTTCTTAAAGCTCTTTCCTTGAAGAAAACTCTACTCTTTAATCTCGTGAACCTCAATGACGATGATTGCAAGCTTACCACGTCCAAATCTTGATGAAAAAATCTTGACTAAGTTCTGTCAAAGGAAAAAGATGATGAAGCTCTACCAACTGTGTTAATCGTTCCATAGGGATCTTGATGCAAAACAGTAACACCTATGCCATGTTGTGGTGGTGATGATGAAGAAATTTTAGAGGATGGTTGAGGAAGAAGAGAGCTACAACAGTGAGAAGTTGAGAGAGTAAGAGAGAGAAAGTAGATCTGAGAAAGATGAGAAAAAGGTTATGGTTGTGACTAGTGTGGTTAAAGTGATGAGAAGGCCTTTATAGCAAGAGCCGAGTGAGGTTTAAGTGCTAACCAAGGTTAGAAATCCATTGCAAAGTTTGCGAGTGGAAAATGGAAATTGAAAGAAAGTGATGTGTGGCACGGTTTTTTCTTATTCATGAGGTGTTGTTGTTGTATTTAGTGAGCAAGAGGGCAGTGTGATGAGAGAAAGAAAAGAGCTGTCACACGAGTAGTATCAAGAGCATATTGTTGTTTCTTTCACTATTTCCTTATTGGGAAAAGAAATTCAAATATGCATGCATGATGTAAGCAGGGGCGGATCCAGACTTTATATATTGGTGTGGCTAAACATAAAAGAAATTATCGACTAAAATATATTGAAAATAAAAAATAATATTGTTTGATGAAGTGTATTTACAATGAAAACCGTCTAGTATCAATTTCTTGAAAATGAGTTAAAATAACATCATTGTTAATGCCAAGTAGAGGGACATTAGGGAATTCCCCATAACGGTCAACAATGATAACATTCTCTTTGGATCGAGAGCACCAATGAATATCTGAATATTTAAGCGTCATTAACCTTTGTGACCACCTCAAACCTTGCTCATTCTTTAGGACTGATTGGGGAAGATGAGAAATAAACCATCTTGCCAGGAGAGGAGTGCAACATATAAGAACACCTCTTTTCCTCATTGTACGAGTGTGAAAAGAGTGTAAGATATCCCCAAGCAATGTAGGCACCGGGTTGCGTGACATGAAGATTTTGACAGCGCTCACATCTATGAGTTGGTCAGGATTGGGGAACAAGACCATCCCATAGATGAGAAAAGCTACAATCTCCTCAAAGGCTTGCAACTCTAAGGAATTCCAACAGCTTTGGGCTTTCTCAAACATAAACTTTGCCAAGAAACCTTTGACACCACTTCTAGTTTCCCAATGAGTTGTGACATCAGATGAGTGCAAGTGCAGGGCTTGAGCAATCTCTTCTGGATTTGGATCTATTTCCGTACCATTGAAAGGTAGTTGACTGAGAATAGGAATACTCAAAAGTTGAGAGAATTCTTCCAAAGTGGGCACAACTTGATAGTCAGGAAATGTGAAGCAATGATGCAAAGGGTCAAAGAATTGGAAGAGAACCTTCATCATATCCTCCTTTGTGTTAGAGGTGACCAAGTTGAGTAGACGAACATGCCTCTCGGTGAATGGAGAGTTCTCAGGGATCCTTGAAGCTAGCTCCTTGAGTTGTGGAGGAATTCTTACAAGGTTGATTTTGATAGTTTTCCAGCGAAGTGAATCCATATCCTACAAAACAAGAACAAAGATGAATCTCCAAAATCCTTGAAATGGTTAGTGAATGCATATGATGTTTATGATGTCCACGATGTTATGTACAGGCATGCATATACAAACAAATCAAGCAAGTTCTTAGTTTATGCTTGCATGGGGTTTCATAGGTAAGTACCCTCTTGAAGTTTAGTTGGCTCAACCTGTCCTAAAAATAGTAACCGGGTTCTAAGGAGCTCAATATCACTAGATTGTTTCCTTGGTCATTGTTTCAGATCAAGCCTCTTTAATGGCGACCTAAATATCCCAAGAAACCAACCCTCAATGAGTGTAGTATCGAGTATCTATCAATTTCGGACTGCACCAAAGCCGATCATCTCACTACATCCTAAAAGGCCAAGTTGGTCAAGTAAAGGGTTCTAGAAGTTCATTAGTGCTTCATGACATCACTCAGCGGCCCCGTATTCTTTTTGATTGACCCAAAGGCTACCGGTACCCACAAATATGTCACACTAACATAGCTATTGCTTAGACCATGTCGGTATACCCCGCACAGTTTCCACAATGTATTGCTATTTACCTATAATGTTTCCCAAATCCGGGTGGAGGATTTAAACCCAAATAAAGAAACATAATTGTAAAGCAAACAAGTCAAACAAGGTAAGCAAATAAATGTGATATAAACCCTAAGGTAACCCCATTTTTATAATGTTCCCCAACAGAGTCGCCAGTTCTGTAATACGGTGGGAGAACTGACTTGAGGTTTTGCGTTTTATCACAAATGTCGCGGTTAGCAAGATTTGCCACCGACTTTTCTTTTATCCAAAAGGAAAGGTGAAAAAGTACAGGAAAGACCTTTGGGATGTTTTCTTGAGTTCGGGGGGTAGATTATGAAAAGGGAAGGTGCTAGCACCCTTTTCATCCATGATTTTCCATGGGCTCTTAGTTACTTGCTTAGATCACTTGATTTGGTTTGTTTGAAATGGTGTTTGATGTGGTTTTGAAAGTATTTTGTAAAAGAGGTCATTCTTTTAGGCAATCTTTGTAATGATTCTCGTTCGTAAGAATGTATACAAAAATGTTTGTCTTTTTGAAAATGTTTTCAATGTTTGTAAGGTGTTTTTGAAATGTGTGTGTTTGCTTTGAAAATAGCAAGGATTTTGTTTGAAATGGAGCAAGTAACTAAAAGCTATCTACCTACTCAAATGTCTTTCTTATGTATTTTCTATTCCTTTGACATTGTTGACTTACCATTGATTCGGTAAGCAACCCTATCTTTGGATGTAAACGGGACGGGCATGGGTCATCGTATAACCATGATTAGCAATGTTTGCAAAGTATCTTAGCATTTTTGAGGGACCAAGATCATTTTGTAAGGAAACTTTTGAATAACATCATCGAGGGACTATGATCTTATATTTGTTTTGTTTTGCAAAGATACTTCGCATGCGTAACATGGCCATTTTATTTTAGGCAACCAAGTGGGAGAAACCCTAAGGGTGCTTGTGTGCAAAGTATATCATTTTCATGTTTTTGATCTTGCATTTAGGGTTTTCTATTTGTTTTGTTTCGTTCTTGTCATACAAACCCTAATTACTAATCATGGCATATGAAAGCAATAAATTGCGTAATGTAAATATACTAAACTATTACAACAATTTTATGGGAGGGGGGAATACAAGTTTGAATGGGGATTTGCACAGATATAAAACTAAATACATTACAACCAAATCAAATTTACGCGAATTAAAATAAATAAAATACAATATTTAAAATGTAATGCAATGTAATGTACATGTAAAGAGATTATTGATGTCTTATTTTTGTGTAAAAGAATATTTAAATCAAACCTAAAAAATATAAGAAAAAGATTTAATTTTTGAAATGGGTTAAACCCTAATTTTTATTTAAAAGAAAATAATGTTACTATATTATTATTTTGTGCATTTTTTGTATAAAAAATAAATAATATTGTTTATAAATATTAAAAATTAAATATATGCAAAAAAATAGGTATTTGTAAGTATGAAATATAAAATAAAAATATTAAGTATATTTAATTATATTTATAAGTTTATTAAGAAAATAAATTAAATCCTATCAAAATAAATTAATTTTTTATGTGAGAAATAATAAAAAAAATAAAATAAAAGTGTAAAAATAATTAAATTATTTTTTTGGGTTTTTTATCATTAAAGAAAATAATTTAAAGTATTAAATATAAAAACGAAAAAATAAATAAAATATGAAAGAGTTAGCAGGGGGTGAGATAGCAAATCAGTGGTAGTGCTAGCAAAAACAAAAAGCCCAGGAAGCCAAAAAGCCCAAACAGACTCATCCCTGTCCTGTCTTCCTCTTCCTCACGCCATGGCCAGTTCAACCTGTAACTTCCTCATGCTTACATAAAAATGAAAACTTATAACATGAAAAATGTAGCATTTGAACTCACGATTCCAACCATATAAATTATATAATCTAACTATCAAAGATCAAAGAGAATTTTAAAATCCCTAATTTCTAACCTAAAATTTTCATAGATTTCAACTTCCAAATTCTCTTAGCACAAGTAATATAAACGCAAGATAATGATATGTATATCTTCGTTATGATGAGAACTACATTTTTTATTCACATATCGTGGCCTGAGGTTGCCTGTACAAGGAGATAGAGTTTGAAAAATTACCTCCTTCAGCTGGAATCGTGTATGGAAATGCAGGGACTTTGATGGAGGCCTGATGATTGCTTGAGCTTCCTTGAACTTCCCTGAATCTATTCCAACCCCTACCTTGCTCTGAAAGTGGCTAGAACTCCCTGACCAAGTCCAACTGCAAGCTTCAAAGTTAACAATGGAAAATGGTGAAACAGAGGTTACAGAACAGGGATGATGGTTTGGATTGACTAGGTATCAATTATGTAAGATGTTTGAATGATCTAAACACAAAATGCACGAGCCAAATGGATGCTGGATATGTTTGTGCAGAAACTGTATGTTTTGGACATTTTTTGGTGCTTTTCTTGGTGTTGTATGTGTTGTATATCCTTTTCATATTAGTATAGAAATGGTTTTAAGTCAGCTCTCTATCAGCTGTACAAGCCCTAGCCTTTTTGCAACTTTTCTTGTACTTGAAGCAAAGTGACAAGACAAAACTCTCATTCTTGTACCAGCTTGCTTTAGGGTTGGTATGAGTTTGTACAAGTTGCTTGAGACCTGTGTGGTTTGTATGCATCAAGGGGACAGGTTCAATGCTCAAGATTACAAAGTTTGCAAAAGTTGCTCTTTATGAAAATGGCAATGGAACCTTTTTGCCATAAGTGGAATTATCAATTGGATAAAGGTTCAAAAGCATGGATAGAGGCTTTGTCAACTGGGTAAGCATTTAATTAAGGAGTGTGTAGCAAGTTTAGGACCTGTAAAGCATGAAATAGCCAGCATAGGATTGATTTGCAACTTGGTTCTTCATGAAAATGGCTTGAACAAAAAGT